GTAAAATTTACCCCTGGTAAGTTTACTTGCATAAAAGCGCGTGAAAGTCAAATGAGGAACTTCTTTCGGGGACGGAGGGAGTATATAAACCGACCCTCAGACTAAATTGACCGGATCCGGAGCCTCTACCTTACTTTAGAGTAAGGTAGAGTGCCTTGCTTCCTCCCGGTCGTCCGATCGACAATTCAACGATCGGAGATCTTGGGCTCCACTTTTTCGCCGATCTCGAGGTCGTGTTGGCCGCTCCCCTCCCGTCCGATGCGCAAGGCACCCTCCTAGTCGGGTAGAGGATCCCAATCCAAATTGACCGCATAATAAGGGTGAATTGATGGTCAACATTCTACAAACGTGTTACCCTAAATTATAGATTCTAAACATACAAGTAAACTATATGCATTCTCTATGAAGATATGAAAATTTTAATCTATAAATTTATGTAGATTTATGTACTTTAAATAAATTCTTGCTCTCTTACATATTCAATAATATCTCTTACCATAATGGCTATTATTTAAATAATAAAACACATTATTCAATTAATATTCAGATAAATTTATGAATAGGGATGCCCAAGTTTAGAATGTTTTCTTTTAAACTGTTTTCAGTCCCAGACCAGACCAGATCAGACCAGATCAGACCAGACCAAACCAGACTTGATCAGACTAGACCAGACCAGACCAGACCAGACCAGATTTGATTTCAGTAGTTATAAAATACACAGAGACCAGACGTTTACCAGACCAGACCAGATTTGATTTCAGTAGTTATAAAATACACAGAGACCAGACGTTTACCAGACCAGACCAGACCAGACCAGTTCAGACCAGACCAGACCAGATCATATTAGACCAGATCAGACCAGACCAAACTAGACCAGACCAGACCAGCAAATTTCAGTCCAAAAGAAAACATCCTTACTATCATTCTAGACAAAAGGACTAATGAATTTTACATTAAATAAATTGAATGGAAATTTGTATATTATAAATCGAAATATTGAGGTTCAGAACTCAGAAGTAGGGGTATTTTACTATTTTCCTTGTGGCATTTTTTTTACTGCTTTTTAAATGTCGTATTGACTAGGGTATCAAAGTATTTATTTACTTTTAGGCAGGGGAGATTAGCTAACAATATTGATTGATTTTTGACCAAAGACTTTGAGCCGGGCGTGGCATAGCAGCCAAGAATTGAATATGGAAGTCGTCATGGAATAGCGCAGCTGCCACGAGAATTTTAGATTTCTAATTGAGTTTAGTTAGCTTCTAGAATATATGTAATTTAGGTGCTCCCTGTGTTACAGCCAATTGAACTGCGAACTTAAAGATACTGCAACATGCACTTCTAACTTACGCATAATTCCATATTATCAACAATTCTGCCCTTTTGGGCTCACATGACTATCTTAGCTGGTGAAACGGTGAGAAAGTTGAAAAAATAGTGAAGTATCAAAACTTGTAGCGACTGCGTCGACACAATTTCTTGGACTAAACGAAAATTTTGGGCGCATAGGTAAAAGTCTATCAACATTAGACTAACTAAGTAATCATGATTTACAATACCTCTAATATGCTCCATTTTACCTTTTGCAAGAACAAGAATGAGATTATTTTGAATTTCTTATTTATGGAAACCGTTTTTAACTATGATTTTTCTCATGTTCGTTTTTTGAAATAGCATTTTCCCCGACCTTTTGTTCATGGATCAAAACTTAAAGGACTTTATAGTAGACATAATACACAAGACCTTTTGTTCATGGATCAAAACTGATTAAAGGACTTTGTAGTAGACATAATACACAAAGTATACATGGTCATTCAAATAAAAAGAGTTATTGACGTTAGTAATATCAAATTTTGATTTTTTGTTTGGAAATATGATGAAATAAAGTAAAATGGCTCACTAAATTATTTGCACTTGAAGCAGCAATCTGTCTGTGTAATTTTCGACACGATTTCATTATGAGTCATCCGAAAACAGTCTCTATAAATGTACTTTAGTACAGGGGTAAGGCTGGGTACATCCAACTCCCTACTCGGCCACACCGTAGGTGGGAGCCTTTGCGGCACTCGGGTAATGAAGAAGAAGACTTAATTAGCGTGTAAAAGAAATTTCACTTATTTAGGAACTTGTCACGCAATTTTGCAAAAATGGTAAAAATTGACAACGTTTGAGAAAAAGTTGATTTTGAAAAAGTAAAAATTGATAGTCTTTGATAAAAAAATACTTTGTGTAATAGAAAAATGTGGAAAAGAATAAAAGCATACCCTCCACTCCTTTTCTAACATTTTCCTTTGAGATGCATAATTTAACTAGAAACTATCACTCGAAAATATCAGTTTTCACTTTTTTAGAAAAACTGAAAAAGACTTTTTTAGTATTTTGCAAATACTCCTTAACGTCTCTTTATTTGATTCAAATTTATATACTACGTATCTGTTATACACACAATACGTGTATAAATGGTTCAAGTGAAAGTTATTCTTCTCATAAGAATATAAATAAATCTAGACAGATCATTCCAAGTTTCAATAATAAATCAAATAAATGTACCGGTGCATCAAAAGAGTTCTATAAAAGATTATAAGCCATTTATTACAAATTGTATTTCATCCCTCACTTATTTTTGGAGGTTTAACAATTCACTTTGCGGTGAGTGTATTTGGGAATTGTGTTGAAGTTTACTTAATTTTTTTCTCTTTATTAACATTTACAAATCTATTTAACTCAATACTATTTAATTTGGAAATGCAATCTTGCATATGTATTTTTTATATTTATTGTAGCTGAAACTATTAAAATGCTGAAACAGGTGATAAAATTTAAAAATAAAACTGGGAAATTTGTACTAATTACTTGAAAATACGAGCAATATTAAGTACTTGAGATTAATTATACTCTTTAATGGCAAATTCGAACTAAAACCTTATTATTTGATACAGCGCGAGTTCGAAATCATGGTCAAACAGTTCATAACTCTTCAAGATTAAATCAAATACAGTGATACTCGGACCAGTGGACGTTATATATCGAAGTGGATCACCCCTCACATTTAGGGTATGTTTGGTTCAGGGAATGTCAGATTACCATAAGAATGTTAGATTGCTAGGTATATTAGATTGATGGGAATGTATCCAATTTATTCCTATTTGTGTTTGGTTAAGATTAAGAGAATGTGATATTAATTTACTTAGTTGAAAGATATCTTATATTGCAGATATGGGGAATTACTTCAATGCTCTTTAAATATTTTATCTTAACACAATAAATCTCTTAGAACCTACATCTAAAGTAATTAAAATTAAAGAGAAAATGAAATATCATAATAATAAATAAAATCAAACCTAATTGAATTATTTTTAAGTAAACTATGTTTAATTGTAAAAAGTTGTAGATCCAATTCAAAATTGAAAAAAACTTTGTTCAATCTAAATATATTTAATATTATTTCAAAAAAATTAAATTTAAAAAATGTTCAAGTTATTCAAAAAACTTCTTTTCAAATTAACGAAAAATTATCAATTTTTCCATTAAAATTTGAAATCCACTCATCAAAAACTTAGGATGATGGGAAAAGGGACAAATAAGGCCATGTACTAACAAAAAAAGGTCAAATAAGGCCTTATTTATGAGGTTCTGTTCGGCCTTCGCCATTTGGGGTGGTTCTCAGTGGAATTTTTTTATGAAATTTTTTGACCATCTTATTCATTAAGTCTAGTTTACGCATGCCAAATTTCAGCTAAAAATTCAATCGGGAAGACATTCAAATGAATTCTTGAAGATAACTGCTCTTTTAATTGCGCAGTTATCTTCAAGAATTCATTTGAATGCCTCCCCGATTGAAGTTTTAGTTGAAATTTGATATGAGTAAACTAGACTTACTGAATAAGATGCTCAAAAAATTTCATAAAAAAATTTTACCGGGAACCACCCCAAATGGCGAGAGCCGTAAAGAGCCTCTTAAATAAGGCCTTATTTGACCTTTTTTGGTTAGTACGTGGCCTTATTTGCATCTTTTCTTTAGGATAATCTATAAGTCTTATGAAATAAATACCTTAAAAAATTTAAATGTCAAGAAAAAAGGAGTTATGAAAATAACAAGAATAGACATTCGAATATAATTAAATAAACATACTCCATGTGTCCTGTTTAAATGGTTGTCACACAATCTACGATCGACTGACCATAAAATTAACTGATCTCTTTCAATAATAAGATTATTTTTTAGTAAATATAATTTACATATTTAGAAACTACATTAAAAATTTTATAAAATCGCACTATATAAAGAAATTAAATGAAAAGAGATAATTAATTGAGGGTATTTTCGGAAGAAAATTAGACCATCATCGGGAATGTAAGATAACCTAAGACATGGGTGGTTATAAGATTCCCCTCCATATTACATTCCTGGGAATGTAACTTTTCCCATTTTTTCTCAAACCCGTAAACCAAACATGAGTATCTGACATTCCGTGCATTAATTATATTCCAACCTTCATGTGAGATTACCCCAAACCAAACATACCCTTAAGATTCTTCAAAGTAGGAGATTTTGAGTTAAGATTAACAAGGAGATGGATTTGAGAAAATTTTCTCAAACGACAATCCTCTAATTGCAAGGCTAATTCGAGTGGTCGTGTAGTCATTATTCCATCACTAGTGCAAAATATACATTCTATAACTAGCATTTTATATGGGTTGATGAATAGCCGTAATCGTATGTAGGCACGGGGTCTAATTCGTAAATAGTCAAAGATACATTTCAGTTTGATGGGTTAAAATGAAAAGTATAAAAATTAATCTATATCGGGTCTTTTTAAAACGGACATAGAAAGTTGAAAAGGGGTAACATTTACAATTTTTGTAACTTCAATTGATATTCGGAGTCTTTTTTGTAATTAACGAAAGTTCTTTTCTATGTCTGTTCATTTTGAACCCCTTACGAAAAGATTTATCTAGATTCTAGAGTTAGTCCCAGTTAGACGCTTCACGATAGAAATAGAAGAAACTATACAAAATCGAAACCCTACTTGGATAAGCTTGGATAAGCTAGGCGCCTTAGCTCCAGCACCGCAACTCCATCGCCGCTTCTCCTCCATGGTTCTCCATCGCCCTGTTCCGAAGAAGATAGAGCTAGACGCAGCAGCTCCACCACCACCGTTGTTCCGACGAAGACCGATCTACACGCCGCAGCTTCCCCACCACCGTTGTTCCATGGTGTTACCCCACCCCACGGCCACCCTACTCTTTCTTACATCCTTAGGCGCTCTATCACATACAACCGTTCCCCAACATCGTGAGTCAATCATCCTCCACCACATCTAGGTAAAAATGTATGTCCTCTATATATGTGTCTATATGTATACAAATCTATTTTTAAAAAATTACACTTACGGTTCAATTTTGTTCTTGGGTTTGTCAATTTTCTTTAAATTTCAGTTGGGGTGAAAATTTTCAATAATAATTTTATACAAGTTCATTTGTCTATAATATGTTTGTGAGAATGCCTTAGATTTTCAAATGAATGTAGCTTCAATTTCACAAACTTTTACAACTAAGCAGCACAACAAGGAAAAAAGTTCATTAGCGGATGTTTTTTTGGATCATACTATGGAGGCAAGGTTGTTGGGGTGAACTGATGAGTTTTCGTTTATTTCTACTTTAAATCAAATATTGCTTTCTTATTATATCTGCCATTTGTTTTCTTGTTAAAAAAAGTATATGCTATCTCAAATAAAAATTATGGAAAATTAGAGGAGACAAATTCTAAAGAGAGCTAGAATAGAGTGTTATAGTTAAAAAAAAAGGGATAAGAAAGCCTTTAAAAAGGAGCAATCGGTTATACTAGTATATAGCAATATATGTTAAACGTATAGATAGAGGTACTTAAATTAAATTTGTTTAATATTTTTAGATATTTTTGTGTTGTTATGCCTTAAGACTAGTGTTTTTTTCTTTAAAGGATAAGATATCTCTATTCAGTTATACCAACTAGATTAGTTAAAGCTACATGAGGAGGTATAACAATTAGAAAAGTTAAACCAAACAACAATTGTGATTTTTTTTTGTATATAATAGTAAGAATTAGGAACAAAATAGAAATGTATAATTTCAAATAAAAGGGATAGGTGGATTTTAATACCATTTGGATATATATTTTCATCATTCACTGTTCTATAGATATGCATTTATGTAAAACACTAAAAAATTGATGGCTCTATCTCAGTTAGATTTGACAACTATAGTTCAGTCTAAAGCTATATTTGACAGCTCTATCTCAATCTACTGTTTTCTGCTAAGCTTTTATATATGTAAACTTAAGTATTTTTAAATTGGATTATGATTTATCTTTATGTATTGAAGCTCACTTTTGATGTCCCTAATACTCATCTATTGAGAAGAAAATGGATATCATATGCCGGTAATCGGTGGACAGGATTCAAGACGTTCTTGACATCATATTACATATTTGGCAATTGATCTGGAGAAAACCCCACAGAAAAGTGTCAATGGATAGGTGTTGAGACTTGGCAACAGTTTGTCCATAGTAGAAAAGACCCAATTTTTCTGGTGAGAGAAGTTTTTTGTAGTTTTTTTGCATCATATAATATATAAGTATATGATATAATTCCTCATTGAGTCCTTTACAAAGATTGGATTCTTATACTTTGAAGTTTTTGTTCTATTTTGTACAACTAGCGCTATAGTAACATAAAAAAACTGATAACAGTGAATTTGAAGCTAGTATATGTTCTCTTTTTTCCTTCTTTCTTTTTAGGTGTGTCATGTGTGTATGTGACGTGTCCACTGGTCATTCATGGTCAGCCTCCTGATTAAAGATAAATTTCAAGCTTAGATTTTTATTTTGATTGTCGGTCCAAAATGATTTGTGGGCTTTTTTCATTGCGCTCAACTGCCTTCAACTTTTATGATTTTGTGACAGTTGTCTTAAATGGGTTAAAAATTCCCTCTGGATTTATTCCAAGATCACTTTAACTTTTTTTGAGAAGATGTTTCTGTTTCTAGTTCCAGAACTACATCGTACTAAAGTTGATACCATTACGGTATTATTACCTTTGACCTAGTCATATTTTACTCTTATATCAATATTGACTTAGCAACAGTTCGTCAAGAGTAGAAAAGACCCAATTTTTCTAGTTAGAGAAGTTTTTAACATTTCATGAAAATATCCATGCAAGCTATCATTTAAATTTGTTTACTTTGTGTTGTACATGTAAAACAGGAGCACAAGAAAAAGGAACAAGAAATCCAAGCTCATAATGACTCTCCTCACATATTGTCCCGGGGTGGATATGAGTTAGAGAAAACACTCGCGGTTGAAAAAACAAAAGAGTGTGAAGAAGCTTCTCAGGCAAATCCTTCATTGGGGTTGAGAGATCCTTCTCCCATACCCCGTTATATGAAATGGAAGTGAGGTCGAATCAGATGAACATGCAAGTATACATCAAAGAGGTCTCGCCCAATTGGAGAGAAAATTGTAAGTGAAAGATTGATAATATTTTGACTGTAAATATAAATTGACTTGTATAACTTCCTTAAAAGGGTTGTGCATTTGTGGACCCTGTTTGTGGTTCGCAGGATTCTCTAGTTGAGGAGGAAAAGCAAGGGACATCTGGTCCCATCGGTTGTAATGATATCCTAACGGCAGCTACCGAATGTCCTGAGCACCCAGGTCAAGAGCGAGATGCAACAGGAGGTAACACCACAACAAGTAACAAAACAAGTAACATCAGCTTCTAGTTTTTTTTTTGAAGGGATAAAATTAATGCTACTATGTCTTGTGCAAAAAAAATACATTTCAGCTTCTAATTTTTATTTTCCACGACAAAGATGTTCCACCAAATTTTCTTTAAAAATACAAAACTCATGCATAATGTCTACAGAGGTTGGAGGCAAGAAGAGAAATTCTGTAGAGACCCATAACTTACAGGGAAAGGTTTTTCACATTTTTTATGATAGAGTGATTTTTATTTTGTCCTCTTGCTCCTGTGGCTCTTCCAGCCCAGGCTTTGTTTTCTTAACCGCCTTATAAGCTATAAGTTGAGGCTGTTTACTTCCGAATATACACACACACACACATATCTGTGTGTGTGTACTTGGTGCCTTATTTATTTGCAGTCTCAAATGCAAAAGGGAAGTTTTGGATGTGGACATTATATTATGAGACACATGGCTACTATTATGTCTGCCAGTGTTGTGGATTCATGGATGCAGGTAATTAATTATTACTCATGTTTCATTATATTTTTGTCTTAATTTCGTTTACTTAATTTTTACTTATTGGTTTATTGTTTTATTTATCTTGTAGACATTCAACGTTCAAGATCCATTTAGTGAACAAGACATCAACGAGATTTGAGAGCGTTGGGCATTGTTTTTCTACGAAGCAACTAGCATTTAGTATTTATTATTTAGTAGAAAATATTGTTAGCAAATTAGAAAGTAGTGCATTTTTTTTGCCAACTATTTTGAATTTTTATGTTGTAAAATGATACTATTGTTAAAATTTTGCTATTATGATTAATGCTATATATGTTTTTTTGTAGATATTATGGTTATTTGTGAATATTATTGAATAACAATTCTGTAAAAAATATCATCATAAATATGTCTAGAATGTATTGCAGGCTGGGAAAACCATTCAATAACGGTGGATATTGATCTGACATTGAATGTATTTAACAACGGTTACACTATGGAACTCATACGGAATGTCATGTTCCAACAGAACGTGTGTGAAGCACATTCGATAACGGTTGTATTACAACCGACATAGAATATATTCTATAACGGTCACGACAACCGACATGGAAAGCATCCGACTTTCTATAACCACTGATTCTATATCGGTTCCCGAACCGACATAGAATGTTGATTTTAACCGTTATAGAATGTGTTTTTTCCACTAGTGCATATATCTTGCCTCAAGTATATATAAGTATAACCTATAAGAGTTAGTTTCTTTTCGGACAATGTCAAGACCCGAGGTTCCATCCTAAAAGGTCATGTATTAATATAGCACTTAGTTCATCCAAATTTTTCCGATGTGGGACATTTAACACCCCTCACGACTAGACACTTTGTCTTGATTGTGACATCATTCATTTTTTCATCGGTCTGTTTTTTTTTTCATCCGGCCGTTATTATCATTTTTTTAATCGTGTCATCATTTTTCATAAAGGGGTCTACACCATAGATCGATTTGGTTATGATACCATGTTAAGATTTGTGGTTCCATCATAAAAGGTCAAACTAATAGAAGGAGTAGACATTTAACATAAACTCGATGATGTTTGATTCATTTATGGAAGTAGTCCTAAGAGCCGTGTTGGCGACCCGGGGACACGCACAAGTAATTAATTAAAACATGTGATTTTTGATTTCGCACGATGAATTTCGTAATAATAAGAAAAGTAAGGTTGAAGTTACTTTTCTGGCTGTCTTGACTGAAGTTACTGTAGATGACCATTTTAGCTACTTTTAGATATAATTTTTAAATATAATTTTTTAATAAATCAGCAGAATCAGCCAATTTATTAATTTCCATTAGAATTTCATAAATTTCAGCACAATATTGAAGTGATTTTGATATTACCGAATGATTCTAAATGAAATTATAAGCCTCATTAGGGGTGGGCACGGTCCGGGACGGTCCGGGATTTGACTTATCCCGATCCTATCCCGGTTTTATAACAACGGTTCGGTACAGTACGGGGATAAGTCTTTATCCCAATGTTGTCCCGTTTAAAACAGGACCGGGACAACTCGAGAAAAACCGGGACGGTTCGGGATGTCCCATAAAATATGCATTTGTGAAATGTGATATAAAAATAAGCATAACATCAAAATAAAGACGTAACTATTTTTGCAAAATTAGCTTCCCTAAAAAGTTAAGTAAAACCTTTAATTAACTATTTTTGATCTTTGTCTTATAAATGTTTTTGGTCCCCCTAATCTTGTGTTTCCTTTAGTAGAATAGTAGTGCAAAATATTTTTATACTTTGTAGTACACTTGTAATTTTTCAATACGACATTAAATTAAATAACATATCTATAAAGACTATATATATATATATATATATATATATATATATATATATATATATATATATATATATTCTAGTAGTTATTTTGGAAAATATTAAATCTATAACTCCAATATAATTTGGAGTAGTAGTTATTCCATCATAAATAGTATTCCGCACGTAATAGTATATTATGGATTAGTATTGGAATGAGAACTAAACAAATTCTAATCAAAAGAAACAAAAGAAATGAGACTAAGAGAGACATGAAATAAGATAAAATTACACTACGGGATAGTTTCGAAACGGTATCGGAATTTTTCGGTTTGGGACACCGGGACCGGGATTTTTGCCCACCCCTAAGCCTCATAGGCTCATAGCGGCCAAGTCTGTTTTTTAATGCTCAAGACTTTAAGCTTTTGGCCGTTTACGCTATCTCACTACGAAAATTTTGGGTTATTACGTATCTGCCCAAGTGCCCACCAGCCTACCTTTAGGCGCCGAGCCAGCCAGCCTAGCTCGAAAGTTTTCATAATACTTACTCCGTATTTAAATGATTTGTTTCAAAAAAGTTGTTATGTTTTGCACGATAAGAAACAATTGATGTGTATTTAGTTTGTAGACTTACAAAAATCATGGTAACAAATATTATTGTGACAACTGACAATAATGAATAATCATATCAATGCCTTAAATTATACTCCGATCCGTAGATTTTTCTGGGTTAGTTAAATAAATTGGATGTTTAAATTTGATGAGTACTACATTTTTAGAATTATCAAATTCTTAATTAAATGAGAAAAGGAACCATACCAAATTGACTACCCAATATCAATTATCAAATATGAAGCTAACTACTCAATATCATTCATAAAATATTTCCATTTCCATGTATGTTAGGAAAATCATAAATAATAAACTGTTAGAAAGTCGGTGAAAACATTTTAAAGCTACAATAATATGATAATAACGTAGTTTGACATTAATTGTCATCGAGGCTGGGGTCATGTGATCTAACATTATTGTAGGCACTTGTTAGTTATCCCTTACCAGCTTGATTGTCTGTTTCATGATCACAAGAAATTGTTGCATTATGTTATGCTTAATTATGCTAAGCCTCTTGCACAAGAAAAAATATGCTTAACCACTAATAAAAATGTTTTATTTTTTCTGCAGTGTTCACGACTACTTATTAAATTATGTGATACCATAAAACTTTTCTTAATTTATTTCCATCGTTTTATTATTTTTTTCATACCCCTAATAGTGCATTATTGGAGGTATTGGTCCTATCAAGGCTTTCCTTCCACTTTATTATTAAGACTTGCACTCTATGTTTACTCTCACTTTGATATGAGTATCTTTTACCTTATATCTTCTGATCAATTATATATACCCGTTGAGTCACTCATTACCTGGCTTTGGCCTCTTTGGTTGTCCACTGCAGTGCTCGAACTTGTCTTTGCCTTACCCGTGATTGTCCTTATTCTCACCAATGACTTCTCAATAGGCAGCTAGCCTATTATAAGTCAGCTCTCTTTATTCGTGATTGTTTAGCGTGCGCGAAACCTGTGAGCAAAGTTTTCCTTTCCTTTGTGAGAGTTTCTTTGTGGAGAAAAGTTGAGAGAGTAAACATGGGAGATAGAGTGGTGTGGCTCTAGAGCGGTGTGTGTGAGTCTAGGTTAGAGGTTGGAGACCTGAGCTGGAGACGGATCGATTCTTTACATGCATTACTGTGAGTTATCATATCATGTAATGTGAAAAATTTTAAGTTCCAAATATTATTGGAATTGTTCATACCCCATCTGGTAACTTTGTAAGCCACATTATTATTGTTGGAATATTGTATTGTACATTTTAAATATGCAGCAGTACTGTTTAGGCCTTGCAATCGGATGTGCTTTCTTGTAAAATTTCTATATTACTTTTGTACTGTTCTAAGAGGGAAAAAAGTGAAAAAGGGAAAAAGTATTCATAAGAATAAATAACAATAACAACAATAAAAGAGTACTCGAAATTAAAGATCATGAAAGAATAGTGTTGAAATAGAATAATGCTTTCAAGTGAAAATAGCATAAGACTCCAATGCAACAAAAAAGTAGATGTTAAATAAATCAGAAAATCGATTATTCATAAGTAATTGAATGCAAGAAAATTACACTATATAATACTCCATCCGTCCCGCAAAGATGTTCTCGCTTTACTTTTTTAGCAGTCCCAAAAAGAAGTTCTTCTTTCTCTAAATGGAAAGTTATTCTACATCAATATAATACCAAACAATACCAATGCCAAACAGTACCAAATAGTGCTGAAACAATGTCAAAACAGTATTGTCAAAACTCAAAACACTAAAACATAGTCTGCTCTCTAAAAAGGACCTCGTGTTTTATATTCCTTATAAAAATTTAAATACTACGTATTTCATTTCTTTCCTTGGAATAAATATTAGTCCTAGTTCCCCATATACGACCAAAAATAGCAACAAGAAATAGAATGCCACATAAGGAAAAAGCTATCTAGCTGGGGTGTATAGTAGTTTTTAAATTTGTTGTATCATTGTATGGATGAACATAGACGTGACAAATGTCAAATCGTCTACAACTATAAACAACCATTTTTAATTTTAATATTCTAAAGTACTATGTACAATAATAATATACCAAAAGATATAGCAGTAAAATGAGTTTTGAGAAAAAGAAAATGCCACGGATTCATGAATTGGGCTGGGTCAATTATGGGTTCACAACCACACGAAAAGAAAATTTCTCTATGAATCTATCATAAGAAGTTCAAAAGAAGAAAATTTGCCATTATAAACAGAATATGTTGCATCAGCTGGTTTGACTTGCTCATTTCTTTGACCCTTCCTCCAGATAGATATAATAATTTTACTTTAATTTCTACGACTTTTCAGTTTCAATCAGACAAACATAAACATATTTGACGATACTGCGACCATAAATTCATAACGGCAACAATAAATTCTCACTTTTTTATTTGACAAATTATCTATAACAAAAAAACAATGCAAAATAGTGTTAAGCAATGTCGAAATAGTGTAAAAACAACAACAACATCCAAGCCTTAGTCCCTAGTAAATTTACCCCAGTAAATTTATTTTCTTAATATGTGTGGAATCCAAGTGAGAATTTAATTTCAGGACGGAGAGAGTAGTAAAGTTGTCATATAGGCGGTCCTAGGGGAGGGCAGCAGGGCGACCCTAGGCCCACAAAAACAATTAGGTTCAATGTTTAATTTTGTCCTTATACTAGGAGTAAATATTTCCGACATTAGTGGCTTAGTATAGTATTTTTCGGCCCAAATATGAGCCTGATTGGTAGCACGAACATCGGTTGTTTTGGCTTATTCTGTTGAAATTTATGAAGTTCTGGCTGAAGTGGTTCAATTGACTGATTCTGCTGATCTAAGAAAAAATTATTTTTAAAATATATTTTATTAATAAAATAAAGAAAAAATTACGGAGTATATGTAAAATTACTTCTATATGAGATATATAACCATT